AGAAAGGAATTATTGGGGAGACATTTTGATTCTGAGGGAGTTAGTCAAATGAGCGTCAGTCAATTCATTTGTTTCAAACTTTATGATGTCAGAATGAAAAATAAAATGATGTTGGATTATAAATTTAAATCAGTTTTCTAAATTTATCATAAAAGTGTTCTCAAGAATAATTTCATTGCTTTCATAACTAAATATCAGGAGTAAACAGCGGTATATCTGCGGACTTACAACGCTAGAACCCGGTTTTCGATACCCGTGGTGGGCAGAGCACAGATAGCCCACTGTGCAGTTTTGTGCTTAACTTCAAAATAAACAAACCCCCACAGGAGATTTTTATGTTGATAATCTCAAACAAAGAGTTAGTAAGGAAGTAACTAAACTGGTTACTTTGAGATAAAGATATCAAACCATGGAATTGAGGAACCCTTGGAAGGAGAGATTGAAGAGAAAATGGATGGAGGAGGATGAATCAGAAAAAAACAGAGACACCAATAAAACCTCAAAATAGATATAGCCCCAATGAAGAACGCGATAGACAAGGAAGAGAGAAAAAAAGAATCAGTTTAGTTAATACCTTTCGTTAAAAAACAAAGTCAGACATAAAGATAACCCCAAGAACGTTTTCAGTCGCAGTACGTCATTCTTTTATTATAAGAAACAGATGGATAAAAAACAAAAATCAAGAACTAAAGATTAAAAAAGAATATAAAAGAAAACTTTTTACGTAGAAATAAGACAAAAGTAGGTAGTAGTAATTAGTAAATGGAGAAAAAAACTGACTGGTTATTGGCAGAAAAGCTATTAAAAGTTGAAGATCAATGATGTCAGAATGAATTTTAAAGCTAGACAGATACACTCTATTCAAAATGAAATCCAGTACGCTTCATTGATCTCAATATCCACTTTACATTTAAAACCCGATTAGATATTCATATCGTAGATGGAATGCTTTGGATGGTTGGAGCGTTACGAAATGAGATGGATTTTTTGTGGGCAAACAGAAGATTTAATATCGTTAAAAACCTTTCCTTAAGGTACCAGTAGGCCTAAGATTTATGATAAAAGTCGCGTTAACGGCATATTTTTTTTTTCACATTCCGCTTAATTTGCCATTGTGTACCATTTTTTTACAGACTGAAGGCTAGCACTGTAAGAAACACACATTAATGGGTAATAATGGCTGGAGACGGCATGAATGGGTAACGAAGAAAAACTTTAATATAAGTTTAACATAACAGCAAATGTACAACGTTTCGACAAAGGTTTTTTCTTATTCGGGAAAAAAACCTTTTGAAAAGGTTTTCCTTTTTTGTTTTTTTTAAATTTTTTTT